ACTCAGCAAATTCAGGACATTTTCAAGACAGAGTTTGGTTAGAACTTCTGGGCCAGTTTTTACGATGGTTCAGCCAGAGTTTGCAAAAGTAATTCAAAGAAAGCCTACAAAGTGTGTTACAAGCTTTCAGAAAAGTCTGAGAACTCCTTCAGAACATGCTAGAGCAGAGAGATTCCAAGATCAGAAGTTGGATGTTTATTCTAAGTTACGCTAATGCTCAACTTATGACCCAGACTTAGGCTATGATGCACAATCTCATAGCGCAATATTTCTGGTTTGATAAATCTCATCATCATTTAATACACACAACCACTTTTGAGTATTTATCCAAAAGATTTCCCCACGTGTGAGAAAGAAGTACCATTGTTGTCCTTGAAAAGCAAACTTTTGTACAAGTTTATGCTGGGCCCATGCTTTGCTTTTTCCTCTGAGGGTACTTTTCCTTAATTCATGCTTACAAATCCAGCTTAGGCACGGCTAAAAGTTGTTAACCACCATACTTGTTTATCTTGCTTCAAGAACAAGTCAGCACGCTAGCATGACGTTGGTACTTTTGACTTCTCCAAGCTACAAAGTTCTTGCTTATAAATTGAACTTCATTGGCAACTGTAAAGGGGTCGGAAAAATTGAAAGAAAAAGCCTTGAAACCTTTCTAAAAATTTCCAGAAATCTGAAACTGCAAACACAAATACAAAACCTGCTAGTTTTTCATTCTTGCATTCAAACTCCATTTCCCTCAAGTGTTTCTTGACCAAACCATCTATACAGTTTCTGATATACATTTAGAAACCATCCTAATTCCTGTTTTCAGACCGTAACACATTCTCAAAAGTCAGAATTTTACTTCTTGACTGTTCCATAATATTACAGCCATTCATAGCCCAAGATAAAGGTTGTTCCAGCCTTCCGAGCACGTGAGGAATCTGATCAGAACATTACAAGTAGTCAGAACCAGGCTCCAGCTCCTAGAACATTTTCCAGTTGCAAGGTAAGCTTATGCTGACTCTCATCATATTACTTGTGTACTGTTAGATTTGCATGTTCCAAATACAATGTAGACATCCTGATTCTGATGTTGTACATATTCTGAAGTTTCACGTATTTATCTTCCTAAGTAGAGATAACATCAGTTCAGAACTTCTTAAGGAAACTAGGTTTAGCAGATACATGCTTGTCTCTGATTTACAGCCTTGACATTTTTCATGTTTCTGAAACCATGATGGAAACCTGCTATAATTGCTATGTCCGTGTTTTCTGTTCTGTTGAGATTTAACTAAGTTGCAGATGTTCTGATTAGCATGGACAAAGAAACGGAGTTCATCATCAGAGTTTATCTTGTGATACATATTTATGGTTTTGCTTCTGATACCGGATGTACAGCCACCCCAGTGGTAGACAGTGTGTGCGCATAAGACATTAGCACTAAGGGTCCTGGGTTCTAACCCCAGAAGCATCTTTTATAGGTTTATTTATTGGCATTTTTACCCATTTTTCTGTCAAACAATATGCCTAAATCAGAACTTCTAGAAAATATCACCTAACAGCATTATGCCCTCACTCTCTCAAATAGCCAGAACTTCTGACTTGGCAGTGACTTATGAACTTCTAAGTTCCTAGCTACACTATAGCTTCTGAACCCCTTCAACAATCAGAACTTCTAGATTTTCCTTTATTCCCAGCAACCTCAGAACTTGGTGTACCCAGGCCCAGAACTTCTGACCTTCTGCTTGCCTACTAACATTTTCTCTCTTACAGCGTATCAGAGTCAGAACTTCTGTTCCTCCTTGTTTCAGCAATGTGCTGATTCTGACTCCATTTTCTTATTTATCTTATTTTTGTTTTTAATAACCAAAAACACCAAAAATATTTCATATTCACATGTTTTATTTCATTTCTTTTAGAATAAAAAGATCAAAATATTTTCTTAAGTAAATTAGTTTCTTAACAAAAACAAAACAAGTCCATTTTACATTTCTTGTATATTATTTCAATATGGTTGTAATAAATAATTATGACTTTAATTTTTTGCAATCCCCATTCATAAATTTGTACCCCTATCCCCTAAAGCTTTTTAATAGCTTTGTATTTTTATTTTCCCTAATTTAATGCTTTATATACCAATAGCTAGTAATTAGGATTTGTATGGAAAGATTAAAACCAATAAATAGCAAACCCTAATCAAGACAAATCAAGCATGTAAATCAATACACTTGCACACATACACCCCTAGGGTAAATCCACTTTGTTGCCTTACAAAAATGGTCATATTATGCATGTGAGATATCTGAGCAAAAACAAGCAAAATACAAGATCGTAGTCCCTCAATGAGGCTATCAAAGTTGCCCTTTCAAAAATGATCTTAGTCCCTTAAAGAAAATGCTAAGATATCTTACAACATTGCTAATCATGGCTATACGATGACCCATGCCCATCCCTTTTACATCCAAAGATAAGGTTATTTACCAAATCAATGGTAAGATAACAATGTCAAAGGAAAGAGGAAATGAATATGAAAGACTTTTGAGTAGGTAGAATGTTCCTAGTTACTTGCTCAATTGCCAAACAAAAACATCCTTGCTATTTTCAAAACAAACACCAACACTTTCAAAAACATCTTTCAAACTTGAAAATATTTTCAAAAGATCAAACACTTTGTATACCTTCTTACGAACGAGAATCATTATAAAGTTTTCCTAAACAATGACATGTTTACAAAATACTTTAAAAAAAACCACACAAAGCACATTTTCAAACAAAAGCAAGTGATCTAGCAAATAACTAAGAGTTTATGGAAAATCAGTGATGAAAAAGGTGTTAATACCTTCCATTTTCATAATATACCCCCGAACTCAAGAAACAATCTCAAAGGTCTTTCCTGTACTTTTTTCACATTTCCTTTTGGATAAAAAAAGTCGGTGACGAGTCTTACTAACCGTAACATTTGCGATCAAACGCAAAACAACCAAGTCAATTCTCCAACCGTATCAGATCTAGTTAGGTCATGCATCATAAATGAGAGTAACAAAATTTAACATGGCTAAAGTTGCTGCTACTTCTAATGAGTTTCCTGCTATAGTCCTAAACTGCCAATATATGAATGACGCATATATCATTTAAAACTAAGAAAATGGTTGAATGGAAACATATATTGCAAACTGAGACTATGTTAATGCACAGTAGCTACCAATGGTAAGTCTCCAGTATATTAAGGTTTCATTACCTATGTTTGAGTATATATTCATTTAGGATACTAACCATTGCTATAATTTGTAATTACACACCTCTACTATTCCATTTAACATAAATTGTTTTTGTTTAGGAGTGCAGATCCTTATGTTCTGTTATTCCAAGAGTTTTGTATTATGATTATAAAATCTATGTGATAAAATGCAAAGATTGTTATTATTTTTATGCTCACTTAACAGGTATAGTGAAAAATCCTAATAGACTAACCATAAATGAACAAACCAACCATAATTCAACAATTGCCATGCTTAGTCAAGAAAACTAATAGTTTCAGATATGTGTTTTGAGGTAGAACCATAGATACGAAGTAGAGACTCACCTGGGTGCAGAAGTTAGTTTGTTAACAGAATCACAATAGTTTGTTCAATTATCCAGAAGCATATAATTAGAGATCCAATTGCAAATGTATTGATGGTGTTCTACGGTGAACTTGTTTTTTTTAGTGTGATGTTAGTGTAACATTGCATTTGAAAACGTGTTGTTAATTTTAGGAAAAATAGAGGACTATTTTGCAAGATTATGTTTTATAAAGAGATTAATAAAATTTGTCCTAATCTACTATTTTGCATGATTTTGTTATTGTAAGATCAAGGTAGCATACCAATTATTCATGTGATGTACTCCCTATAATATGATAGATAAGTTTTACAACCCTTATAATATCCTAAATATGTATATGATGTTAGTTAGACCTAAGATTAACTATTAAGCAGAATGTCGAGGTGAGGTGGCCAAATCTTAAAGTTGTCCTCTCTAGCCTATGTAAAAAAAAGTGTTGTTGTATATGGTTTTAATATAATGGAGTGGTTGTAAGAATAATGACAAGTCAAAGAGGATAAGAAATTCTCACCTCTTTCATGATTTGTCTTAATTCCTTAGCAGTCATTTTAGTGTATGGTATACAATCCTTATCCCAAAATACAAATGTCCCTTTGTAGTTATCATATTCAACTTCATATTCTATTTTGAATCTATAATATAAATATGGAGAATATGTTAGAGCAAAATTGGACTTTGATAAATATGATAGTTATGAACTAAGAAAAATGGAAGGCTCACTTAGTGACAGGTTTGACATCCTTAACTCCACAGTCACACTGAAATATCTCGCCGAGATAAGGATATGAAATTTTAAATTTTAGAATCTTTATTGAAAAAAAACAAGGGTACCTTTCCTCCTTCATAAATCTCACGAATACTCTTGACCTCATGAGGGCTAGTCAGTTTTTGTTAGTAGGTTGAATAGATGAACCACACGTTAGTAAAAGAGAAAGTGTAGGTGCATTAGCTAAATCAGTTGTTTCAAAATTGCAAAAACTGAAATTTGACATTACATAAGTGTTAAAATTTAACCTCAGATAAATGTGTATGATGTGAAAGAATAGGGTATTGCTTGGATTTGAATGATTCAACTTGTGGATGCTTTAAGTTAATGTAAATTCATGAACCGTTCCAAGCGTTAGAAAGACTTGGTAATCTAGAAACTATATCAATATGAAATATAACCATTGAGAAAGAAAACAGAACAACTGTTTATCAAATGTAACCGTTGAGAAAGAAAATAGAAATCCAGTTTATGAAATGTAACTATTGAGAAAGATAACAGAAATCTTTTAAATTTCCAAACCTGTATTTTGCTTACACCAAGCATGTGTCAAGATTATTATAGTAAGAGCAGCAACTTTGTCAGGGTTTTGATAGTTCATGAATTGTTTGCCATAGTCATCCTACAAAGCAACCTCAATGGCATTTTCCTAAATATCACGTAAAGTGATATTGACACACGACTTCTTACCACCACCTCCAATTTGTGTCTTCACAACATCTTGTAAAACACCAATGACATCTACAAAATAAAACAAACACGCTATTACTAAAATACGAATACGCTATTACTAAAATACGAATACATGTAATGAACTACTTAAGGACATGGAATAACTAACCATATAATATATCAGGTTTGAAAGTCCATTGAGAAAGTTTTAGATTTAATTGAAAGTTGAATGTGAGCTGGTATTTCTGATATCGCCACATTGGTCACGGTATTCCCTCAATTGAAGACAAGTTTAAGTTGGTTAGAACAAATTTTGAAAGGTCTGTCATTAAGCACAAACTCTCCATTGTAAATATAATAAGTTTCATGTTCCTTTAGTTGTTCAATCAAATCTTTAAAGTCTTGGCTCCTACTGGTGACATGAATTTGATCGCTCTGAAATATATGAACAAACAATGTTCTGAATTTAAGGTATTTAAAAAAATGTATACAAAAGACATACCATTCCATTTTGTAAGACCAATTCAAGGTGTTGGCTTCCATTTTTTCCCTTCACAACCCACATGTCAACAACCCTAGATGCATTTTCAACACTTGGTTTCCTTTGACCAGGTCCTTGATGAGAATCAGAGTCCTTGGCATTGTTCTTAACCTAGACTGTGAAATGTAAATACATAAACCGTCATGTAATAACACACGTAAGGAAAAGTATGACTCAACATAAGAAAAATAAACCAGATTTCATAAGATAAAAAGGCTTTAATAGTAAAATCATGAACGGAAACTCTATGACTGAGGAACAACAACCAATGGATTTAGTCTTCAGAAGTAAAAGAAAAACACAAACTTCACCAACACCCTATTTCGTTTGCCACGAGTATTTACAGATCTATCAGGACTGGTAACAACAGCCAAATGCCTAAATACATGATGTCGGTCGGACAAAGTCAAGAAATATTGAATCTATTTGTGAAGAACCGTTAAAAATATGAAGAACAAAGGAAAATAAGCAGCAAGCTGAAGAAAAACGAAAAACTTTAGCAACACCATTTGGTTTTCATGAGTATTAGCTTAGTCAATTGATTAGTATTAGCTTCATTGTAGATTATATGATGTGAAAAACAGATGGTGTAAATGTATTTTTTGTCCTCTTTTTACATATTTTTAGTTTCTTTAAAGAAACTCATATATTTAATCCTCAGTTTTATTTTATTTTTTGGATTTTTACGATACCCTTCAATTTTAGTGTGAAGATTCATTTTGGTCTCTCACACACTACGGAATCTAAATTAATCTTTCATAAAAATAAAAGTTCGATTTAATCTTTTACAAAATTTAATCGAATTATATTAATCTATATAATAATTTTTTTTTTAAAACGGTCTTTTCAAACTTTTAAATCATGATTGGACCGCCACATGGACCGTTACATTGTATTTTATTTTTCATTTTTTAAATTTATTTTTTATATTTTATTTTGAATTTTTATTTTATTTTTAAACAATTTCCATTTTGAAAAAATCTAAAAAAACCAAAAATTGATTTCTAGAATTACGAATTTATTTCTTATTTTGAATTTTTATTTTATTTTTAAACAATTCTCATTTTGAAAATATAAAAAAAAAAAATCTAAAATTGATTTCTAGAAAGAATTCAACCCAAGACCTTTAAGCTACATCTTAAGCCTTTATCACTAGGCCAATATATATTAGTGATAAATAATTCTCATGATTTATAATAGTATTAAACTCAACACCTTTTAACTTACCTTTTTTATCTGCAAAGTTCAATAATTGGTTTATATATAACGATTTTTGTCATGTTTTACTAATAACTTGTCATTTAAAAAACAAAATCATTGTTAGTTTTAAGTACAAAAGTATGAGAGGGAGACCAAAATTGTTTAAATTTAAGATAGAGGAACTAAATAGTTTAAATTTAAAATATGGAGACCAATTTATTAAATCAAGTAAAATAGGGGAACCAAAACTATAATTAAGCCTATTTGAATTAATTAAATATTTATTTGTTTGTTATTTGAAATAAGAAAATAAGTCAATATTTATTCTGAATTATTAAGTTAAGAATTCATTATTATAAATATTAACACCAATTGGTCTAGTTGTAAAGTGACAATCATTTATTTATTTATTTTTATTACAAAGAGGGTTAACGCAGAAAAAATATAACTACTCGAAGAGGTGAAATGTGGAATGCGGTGTTGCAATCTGGACAACTATGGAGTGAAAGCTGCATGAAGTATATTAAGGAAGAAAGTGCCAAAGCCAACACCCATATGGTTATACGGTTTGACCGACACAGCCACAACTTCATTGTGAAAGAGACAATCGACCACAACGAAGGCTTGCCAAGACAAGAATATATGGTTGTACTACCTTCTCGTTGGTGCGATTGTGGAAAGTTTCAAATCTTTCGTATGCCTTGCTCTCATATCATTTCCGCGTGTGCCTATACTCATCAAGACGGGCTACAACTTCTGTCACACATTTACAAATCTGAAACGTTGCTCAACGTTTACAACAACAGCTTCCCTTTGGTAGCAAAACCAGATTATCGGTCTGCATACGACGGCGAAATAGTATGGCACAATGACCAAATGCGAAGGAACAAAAATGGTCGTCCCAAAATAAGCGCATCACAACTGAAATGGACTCCATTGACAAGCTGGAAAGAAAGTGTGGTTTATGTCGTCAGGTCGGACACAATCGCAAAAATTGTCCGAATCGGGCTACTGCCTCAACCACATAAAAATTGTATTACATAAAATCTTTCCTTTATTATATTGTAAACATTAGGGTTTTTCGTTAACAGTATTTGTTACAATAAATATTGCATGAATAAGAAAAAAAACACGATAATTCGTCTACGAAATTACAACTGTTAAAACAATATCATCAGACTCATGCATCATCAACATTACATCGCTGTCTGTTTTGACTTCCTCCAACCAAACATTAGGTCTTCCTGTCGCAAGTGAGGTTGTTGTTCGTCTTCGCTGGATCCTTCGAATTTTCCCCCATCCACGATGTCTCCATCTAGTCATCGCATCAACTCCGGCTTCAGACGCTCCATGGAGTGAATGTGCCAGAATTTCATTTTCATCGGAGGTTTTGTGGCGGAGAAGATAACGTAACCATCCCTGGTAAAAATCATGGGCGATATCATGACGCAAATAACAGAGTAAAAAATAAGAAAATAGTGCGAGAAAGTGTGAGAAATGACGGAGAAACAGACAGATTATTTATAAAAAAATAGCGTTTTGTCCTAGGAGCCAAGTGAGATGGCGCATCTTCTCACTTTTATAGTGCATGCGCCATCTCACTTGGCTAAAAGAGAGAGGAGACGCCAAGTGAGATGGCGCCTAAGGCTTATAGCTTAGTGGAGGCGCCAAATGAGATTGCTCCTCCTTTGGGGAGTCATCTGAAACATGGTTATTTGTGTAATTTTTTTCGAAACATGGTTATTTGCGATTTTTTTTAATACATAGTTATTCCAAAAAAATATTGTACAAATTTTGCACATATCATTTTATGATATATTAAATATACAGTAAAATAACAAATTAAATATCATTGAATCTTGGCATCGATAGTTATAGCACAAAATGAATAAGTTTGTTAGAAAAAAAACACTAATATGAAACACATGTTTGTACTTAGGCATAATATATACCAATTTTTGTTGATATTTAAAATAGACTTAATCAAACACTAAACATTATTTGTTATTGATAGTCTTTTGCATGTTATGAACTAAAAATAAATCATATTTTTATATCTAAATACGGGATAAAAAATTGACATTGATTAATATAATTAAGAATTAAATTGTTTAAATTAAACTGTTAAACAAAATTAGACTTAAATCATAAAAAACAGTTTAACTTACATTTATATAATATTTTTTTAAGAAATTAAATCTTATTTATTTATTAGTTAATTATTATTTATTAATAAAACTCAAATTGTTCTTTTATTGTATAAACAATAAGATAATTTATTATTCAATTCAATGATCTTATATTATCAATTTTAAATATTTTAATTCATTAAATTGAAATCTTCCATTACTCTTCAATATATAAATTTTATATAATAAACATTTAATACATAATATAAAATATTTTCACCATTACCAAATTTATATATATATATATATATATATATATATATATATATATATATATATATATATATATATATATATATATATATATATATATATATATATATATATATATATATATATATATATATATATATGTGGACCGTCATTGCTTGCTCCGAGTAGAACTTGAGAGTGAGGTGGGGGGTACCTGCAAGACACTCTGATGTCAAAGTAAGTTTCGAAATGAGCAAGCAAGTATGAGAGTAAGAAATGTTCAATCCCTGATCCTCTCGAAAGAGAGGGTATTTATAGTCCCCAGCGCTGGGCCAAAGTCTCCTCATTGGGTTAGCCAAGCAGGTCCAAAGTGGAGACTGCCAAGTTCTACGTGAGAAGTGGAGATCCGCACGTGGTCCCCCACCTGGATGAGTTCCTCTGCAAGATCAGGAGAATATGGATGTGGTATTTGGGGGCCACGAAGACTCTATGATATTCAGAGACGTTGATAGTTAGCCCCTACGAGGAGGATGCTCGTGAGGTGCTTCTGCTTGTAGTGGAATGCTCCCCGCCAGACGCGAGGTCGTGTGAGGAGATAAGACTTCGATGAAGAGGATCAGAAGGTGTCCTCGGGATCATCCTGACTGGTGTGTGAGCTCCCTAAGGCTAACTGGGTTTTCCACTCGTGTAGTGAGGTCGCTTCCTTACGGGAGAGTGGACCATATTCTGCCCGACGTGGATTGGGCCTCACCTGGAGTTGGGCCAAGGGCGGGCCCAGTCCTGAACAAGAGCCCCTAAGTCGTTGCTTCTGATGAATGAGCTATGACTTAAATCTAGCCTCTTCTTTTTACGAAGTGTGTTACTCGACGAGAATCTCTCTGTGCGTGGACGGAGAAAGTCGTCGGTATACGGGTTTACCCGAGCATCGTTTAGAATGGACTCGAGATGGCGATGTTCTCGACACAAAGAGAAGAAAAGCGGCAGGGTGTGGGCACGTGGCGTGACGTTTAGGGTTGTAATGATGTCCTAGGGAGTAGGGGCCATTATTAGCTGAGTGCGTAGGTGTCGAGGAGAATGGCGATTGTTGGGATGCCCGACGTGATATTTCGCATTTCACGTCAGCTCTATAAATAATGCCTTAAGGCCCATTATTCACATTTATATTTTCGCGCTCTTCATTCTCCCTACTGCCAACGTCGTGCCATTCTTTGTAACCGCTGACGCCATCGCACAATTGGCTGTGTGTTCCTCATCTACCACCGTCGTTCTTCATCTATTCTTTTCCAAGTAAGTATTTTTATGTGATATTCTTTGTTTAGATTGACTTTGATGCCATTTTAGTAGTAGGGTTTAGCCACTGGGGGATTTTTCCCGGGGGATTCATGGATTTAGGCGTATTATTCGTGATTGAGTCCGCGATATTTATCTTGTCACAACCATTTA